ACGGCATGTTGGCGCTGAAAAAGCCGTACATAGATTCATATACATCATGGAGAATGTCAAGTGCATCACTACCCTGCCAACAAGAATATGGCACGCCGCCTGGACCAGGAGCAATGTTGCGTCGTGCAAGTAACATATTGTGAAAGCTAGGCCTGGTTAAGAACCAAGTAGGTGTAATCCCAAGATCGTGAACAGGCGAAACAAACCCAATAATTTCGCCCCAAAGCTCACGATCAACAGGAGTGGCCTTGAAGACTTCAGACCAATGGTCCGCCAGGGCCTTTCCAGACGCCTCCAGGGACCCACAGGGAGAACCATCAGGATCCAGGACCCCAACAAGGTAAACTCGACGACGAAGTTTAGACCAGAGCTCACGTTTCCGACGAAATCGCGCAATCTGATGCTGGATCCATGCTTCTTCCGAAAGATCTTCAGCTGCGCAGGCTTCCAGCCCGTGGAGCTCATCGTCAATCGCAGCCTGCTGCAGCAAACGCGCGTGCCCACACAACTGCGGGAGGTCATTACAGGTCTCGGTTTCGACGTCAAAGAAGGGGAGGAGGGCAGCATAAGTACGGAGGGCAGTAATGCACATATGAAACTTGTGATAACGAACACCACGGAGCGCATGCATGGTCCAGTAATGTTTTTTTTTTTTTCCTCATGAGTGCGTGCAGGGCGATGTTTGAAACGAATGCGAGCGGGCTTAACTTGTTCATGAAATATACACTTAGCAGCGGCATGACGTTCAAAGGGGCCCCACTCAGCAGGGATCTCCATGAGACGCTGGCGGACGAGGGCACGATACTTAGGTGAACGCGCAATAACATTCGGGATGGCAGGCGAGCCCCCCCATGGAACATAACGCTGGAAGGTGACCACGAGCGGGCGATGATCGGATGGTGTCTTGCCCCCAAGTGAGCCCCAGACTTTGGCCTGTGTGGTGAGGTCCTGCAACGTGGCACTGGGCATGTCTGAGTACAACCGATCAAGCCGCGAGGAATGCGTCTGCCTGGCGTTGTCCCACCCTTGCCGAGTGGGTTCATCCTGCACAAATTCAATCCAGCTGCCGCAGAGCTGGTTAAACGCGTCGTGATGCAATCAATCACCACTGTGCCATGTATGACCGTCATCTCCCATCCTTCCCTCCTCTTCTGAAGCGAAATTCCAGCCCCCCCCGATCAAGTTGAAAGAGACAGTGGCCGGCGGCAGGGCAGCTAAAATGGCGGACAGGATGCGGCGATAGAGCGGAGTGCCATCACTTGTGTTGGGCATATGATAATTGACGATACACATCATACCATGCTTACCAATGCAGCGAGAGAGGAGGACACGACCAGGGATGATAGGAACATGACGAATGGACTGGAAGTGAGAACAAAACTGCTCGTGAAGGACAGTGAGGACACCACCAGTGTTGGCTTCCGCATGCGAAGAAAACCCTACGCTGCTCCCACGAAGCTGACACTTGATCTCCTCTGCCTCCCCCAGGTGCCCATGGGTCTCCTGAGCGCACGCAATACTGTAGCGTTTAGCTAGAGACAGGTGTTGTGAATATCGACGCGAAGCTCGACCATCCCCACCTCCCACAGCCGCAAATAAACCTTGAGTGTTCCATGTTACGTAAGATGTCGCAGTATTCTGTAAGAACGGAGACGGAGTAGCCGATAACGAAGACGTCGAGGAGTCGGGGGAGGAGGAGGAGGACGAAGACGAATTGCTAGAGCTACCCGAATTCGAAGAGGAAGAGCTAGAGCTACTCGAATTAGAACTGCTACTACGTTGCGTGCTGTCAGGGCCGCTTCCAGACACCTCAAAAGGGACGGCGGGCGGCAACCTTGGCCGTCTGAATCAGTGCGTCGGCGTGAGCCTCAAGGCCAAACTCAGGAAGAGCGGCCTCCTCCAGGTCCACGAGGGTGTCCTCGCTGACGTCACTTGCCGTGAGGTGGGCGATTCGCACTGGGTCTTCGGCCGACCTGAGGATGAAAACGTCGCCGCCGAGGCCGTTCGATCCAACCTGGAGCTGCGTGCTGGCCAAGAGCGTCTCCGCCTTGTTGCGGAGCTTGCCCATGGCGAGGAACAGGCGCCTGCTCTTCAAATCAAGATCGCGCCGAAGTTTGAGATGAAGCGGCTGTCCGCCGCGAGGGTTCACGAAAGTCGTACCCTGATCGAAATTAGATAAGAAATTCGTGGCTGTGAGAACGTTGCCGAACTCAAAGACAGCTTTGCGATTCACGTCGAATGCTTTGACGATGCATTTGTTGTGGTCTGCGATGGGCATGGCCTGGTTGCGCACCTGCTCCGCGGCGCGCCTGAGTGTGGAAGCCATCATCGGCCTTGGGAAGCCCAGCAGCACAAGCCTACATGCACCTTCCTGTTGATTACCACTACGGGAGGCCGGTGCCCACACCGATGAACTGGCTGTGGTCGAACGGGTTGATTCGGGACTGCGAAGCCGACGACGAGAGCCTGGTGGGTACTCAGCAGCAGGTGGGCGTTCAGAAAGCTTCTTCAGCGACTCCTCAATGTTCGCGACCGTGTTCTCGGGCTTGATGACTCGATCAGCACGTTGTGATAACCCTGTCGCACCTCGCATGCTGGAGTCCGTGTCTTCCTCGAGGGCGTCGAGACGTGCTTCTAGGATGTCCATGCGAACTGCTGTGGCATTGACGTCTTCACGCAACGAGGTAATGCCGCCTCGCATCTCCTCACCCAGCGATGACATGCGGGTCTCGACGTTCGTCATGGCCACGATGAGCGAGGCGGCCCATGGTGGGGTGCCCTCGGTGGCCATGGCGGCCATGGGGCGGCTGTGTGATGGGTGAAGGCCTGGATGGAAAGATGCCGAGCCGCAAAAGCGGGTGCACTGTGCACCTCCAAGCAGCTCGTGCCTGAATGCTGTGGAGTCGCCAAGACTAATCAGGTTGCCTCGCAACTTCGTTGCTTCCCCCCGTTTAGTCTTGAGCCAAATGGTTACGGATGATGATGATGATGATGATGATGATGATGATGGTGGTAATGATGATGATGATGATGATGATGATGACGGCGATGAGGAGGGGGCGGAGGCGGGGCCGCTGTCATGCTGATGACATCCTCTTTTGGCACACGATCGCAGCGCCAATGACACGACGCAAACTTTACATTGCTTATGTTGTTCTGCCGTGCGCGCTGCTGCCCCTATTGTGGTTCGCGACGTTCATGGCACGACGCGAACTCTGCAGCGCTGTTCTGCCGGGCACGCTCCAACGCCACTCGTCTCGAATATCTCGCTGCTGCCGGTCCAACGCCGCTGTCTCGCTGATCGCATCCTCTTAGACCACACGAACTCGAGCGCTCACGGAAGTCCTGATCGTCACCTTGAGCATGATCATCATCATCATCATCATCATCATCATCATCATCATCATCATCATCATCATCATCGTCATCATCGTCCTCCTGCTCCTCCTCCTCATCATCATCATCATCCTCAGCAGCATCATCACCATCATCATCATCATTCCTCCCCGTCCTCGTCCTCGTCACTATCACCATACGTTGTCATCCTCGCCCCCTCCTCTGAATCAACATCATCAACACAATAAACCCGCCTTCGCTCCCTCCTTCTCATCGCCGTCGTCATCATCATCATTCCTCCTCCTCATCATCCTCCTCATCATCATCATCATCCTCATCCTTATCCTTATCGTCGTGCTCATCCTCATCCGCATCTTCCTCAGCATCATCATCCTCCTCCTCATCCTCATCATTCCCATCAACCTCATCATCCTGATCCTCATCCTCATCCTCGTCATCATCAACAACATCATCGGCATCAGCATCAAGATCATCATCATCAGCATCAGCATCACCATCAATCTCAGCATCAAAATAATCCTAAGAATCATCATCATCATCATCATCATCATCATCAGCATCAGCATCATCATAAGCATCATCATTCCCATAATCATCATCGTCATCGTTATCATCACCATCAGATTCCGTATCCTGATCCTCATCCTCATCGTCATCCTCATCATCATAATCGTCGTCGTCACCAACATGTGTGTCGCTCCTCCTACTCCTCCTTCTCCTCCTCCTCCCCAGCCTCTTCGTCCTCACCATCTTCATCCTCATCATCCCTCCTCCTTCTCGTCGTCGTCATCATCACCACCATCATCCTCATCATCATGATCATCATCAGAATCAGCATCATCGTCATCATCATCATCATCATCATCATCATCAGCATCATCATCATTAGCGTCATCTTCATCATCCTCCCTTCTCCTCCTTCTCCTCCTTCTCCTCCTCTTCTTCGCTTCCCATGTCAGGACGGAGGGGGGGAGGGGCGGTGGAGGGAGAAGCAGTTGGGACGAGGGGGCCCGTACAATGAGCTTCCACTATGACAAGCAATGAGAAACCCTTCCCCTCAAAAACGATGAGAAATCCACATGCCCAAAAACAACAAGAAACCCATACAACAAAAATCAATACGAAATCCGTACGATTAACAACACTCAGAAACAATCTTGGGCCCAAGCACCCTGTCAGGGCATACACAAACAAGAAAAAGACACAAACCAGAACAACAAACTGTGGGGTTACCAGCAAAAAGCAATACTCAATGGTGTTTGTGCCTGAAGGCTGCCTGGGCGAATCTGGGCTGGAGGGCCCTGGGGAAGTCTGAAGGCGCGAAAACCATAGATGTGTGGTTCTTGTGGCACACACAATGTCTGTTGCTTGTTTGTTTGTAGGGCACCCTCACAGGATTCGTGGACCCAAGATGTTGTCTCATTGTTTTTGCGTGTATGGATGTCTTCTTGCGATCGTTCCTGAAGTTTTTGATGATGTTGATTGTATGTTTTTCTTGTTGTTTCTGAGTGCAAGGTATTATTATTGTGTTTGGGTATGTTATGTATGTTTTTTTTTTTTTTGAATTTGAGTTTACAAATGTCGTTTTGCTTTGATTATGCGGAGGAGAAGGGAGATGAGGAGGAGGAGGCAAAAGATAATGAATATGAGGAGGAGTAGAATGATGATGGTGACGATTAGGATGATGATGGTGTTGATGATGATGATGGCAATCATATCACCCTCACATAGTCTCAAATCTCACCCTCACAGGGGGGGGAGGGGGCTGAGCGCCTCATGGGGTGTTCTGGCCTCTTCAAGCCCTCCAGCCTGCTCGCTAGGCCCCGGAGATCCTCCAGTGGTTCCAGACTATCCCCAGACCGCACACAGAGCAACATAATAGAGAATGACATGGTTGACCCCCCTGACGATGGTTGCTGTAGCGGTAGTACCATAATCCGGCGCTTGGACAATTGTGACGGCGGGCAGGGTGCCGATGGTCCGCAGGCGTCCCTCCCTTGATAATGCGAAAGCACATCGGATCTTCAGCTGAGACCAGGTGACAGACAGAGCGTTCACGCGGCTCCGTTCTTGATAGGGCGTCAACCCAAGGAGGGGGGGTCTATGGGAGGGGGAAGGCCAGGTGCAAAATCTAATGGCCCTCTGGGGGCTCAAACGGCCCAAGTGGCGTCCCGTACGGCCAAAGAGACGTCCAAGAGGCCCCCAAGACGGCCCAAGAGGAGGGCTCCAAGAGGGCTCCCAGACGGCTCAACGCGCCCCAAGAAAGCTCAGGACCGCCTGAGAGCGTTACAAGATGGTTTCAGATGACCTCAAGACGGCCCAGGAGGGCCCAAAGGAGGTCCAAGAGGCCCCCAAGAGGACGCTCAAGAGGGCTTGAGGCCAACCAACAATGATTATCCTATGTGCTTCTATGGCTTCCCCGAGTCTCGCCTGCTCGGGCCAAGAACGACCCAAAAGGGCCCCAAGACAGGCCAAGGGGGCCCCAAACGGCCCAGGAGCGCCTCATGGCAGCTTCAAGAGAGCCCCAAGATGGCCCAGAGAGGCTCCCAAGAGGGCCCGAAGAGGCCCCCACGAGAGCCCCAAGACGGCCAATGGCCTCCAAGACGCCCCAAGACGGCCCGAAAGGGCCCCCAACAGGCCCAAGAGGACCGCGAGACTGTCCAAAGGCCCCCAGAGGACCCTGAGGAGGCCAAAAACAATGATCTTCACTTCAATGTTGCATGTTCTTGGGATTCTCGCCTTTTTGGGATTCCGACAGCCCAGGACGGCTCAAGAAGCCCCCAAGATCTTCCCAAGATGGCCCGAGGCCCCCAAGAGGGCCCCAAGGCGCCCGAAGAGGGCCCCCGGCCCCAGAGGGCTGCAAGACGGCCCAAGGAAAGCTCCAAGACGACCGAATGCCTCCAAGACGCCCCAAACATTGCCCAAGAGGGCCCCAGGACGGCCCAAGAGGGAGCCAAGAGAGCCCGACGGGACCCCAGCAGGACCCTGAGGAAGCAAAAACAGCGATTTCCCCGTCGGTTTTTGTGAGTTGTTTGGATTCTCGCCTTTTCGGGCTTCCGACAGCTCAGGACGGCCCAAGAGGCCTCCAAGATCGTCCCAAGATGGCCCACGAGATACCCAAGAGGGTCCCAAGACGCCCCAAGAGGCTCCCGGGACGGCCCTGGAGGGCCCCAAGACGGCCCAAGAGGGCGCCTAGAGACTCCCAGGACAGCCCCAAGTGGGCCCCAAGAGGGCCCAAGGAAAGCTCCAAGACGACCGAAGGCCTCCAAGACGCCCCAAGAAGGCCCAAAAGGGCCCCAGGACGGCCCAAAAGGGCCCCAAGAGAGCCCGACCGGTACCCAACAGGACCCCGAGGAGGCAAAAAAACATGGATTCCCCCGTCGGTTATTGTGAGTTGTTTGGATTTTCGCCTTTCGGGCTGCCAACAGCCCAATCGTCTCAAGATGGCCCACGAGGTCTCCAAGAGGGTCCCAAGGCGCCCCAAGAGGCACGGCCCCGGAGGGCCTCAAGACGGCCCAAGAGGGCGCCTAGAGACTCCCAAGAGAGCCCCAAGTGGGCCCTATGAGGCTCCCAAGAGGGCCCCAATAGGCCCCAAGGACAGCTCCAAGACGGCCACAGCCCCAAAATACGCCCCAGGCCCCAGGACGGCTCAAAAGGGCCCCAGGACTGCCCAAGAGGGCCCCCAGGGGGCCCAACAGGGCACAACAGGACCTCCAAGACGGCCCAAACTGGCCAAAACGGCCCCGAAAAGACCCTCAAGAAGCCCCAGAGGCGCCAAGTAACACCATGGCTCCCAACAGTGAGCGGTGATGTAACAAGCTCTTAACACCAAGGCTTCCCAGAGCGCGGTGACGTAAAAGCTCTTGACGACACGGCTCCCAAGAGCGAGCGGCAACGTAAAAGTATCTGAGCACCAGAGCTCCAAGAAGATAGCAGTGACGTAACAAGCTCTTAACACCAAGGCTCTCAAAGCGAAGGGTGCCATGAACCATCTCGGGCAAATTCCTGAAGCGCTCGCTCCGTTCCCGGGCCGGCCCAGGTCGAGCAACGGGCGTGAGTTACTGTCTAATGGGCAGTGCACAGCTTGAGCCCAAACAAGAAACACTTGAGTCACGTTAAATGCATCCCGAGGAATCCTCAAAGTCAAGCTGACCCAATGTACAAGGCATCGCGATGGGCTCCGCACCGACTGGCCTAAAGAGGCTCCATCCACATGGAAAAAACGTCAAACTCCTCAAAGTCTTGGATGTGCTTAGCGTTGCCCAATTTTCAGTTCGTGATGGCCCCAAGATGGACTCCAGATGCCGGTCGGACGGACAAATATTCCCCCGGAAGGCCCCAAAACAGCCCAACAGGCCTCCAAGACAGTCGCAATATAGCCTTAAGATGGTCCCTGATCCCAACACGCCCCCCTAGATACACCCTGCACGCTTTGAGACTCTTGTCCAAGCTGGACCCAGAGCCCCCTTACGGGTGCAGACAGTGCTTCAGGGCCCGAAGAGGGCCCCAAGATCCCAAGAGAGCCACACGAAGGCCCTGAAAGGAATCCAATGTATGTCAATATCGGGGGCGCGCAAACATGGATTAGCGATCCATGAATTTGGCGCGCGGTCGCCAAATCCATGGATCGGGGAAGGTGCCCTCCCCAAAATGCGACCGGTGCCGCCTCGTTCGGCGGTGGAGATTCGCGATTTCCCCAGGAAACGGGACCCGTCGCTAATCCACGCCCCCTTGATCCATGTTTGCGATCGCCTGACATTAAACCTTGCACCTCTCGGCTTGGTCCCCTTGCCGTCCACCTCTCCCTTCCCTCTCATTTTTTCCTTTCCTCTTATCGTCCCCCTCGACCTCTTGCACATTCGCCGTCGGCTGCTCCTCCTCCTCTTGCTCCTCCGCCTCCCATAGTATACATTGCCCATGCGCCTTAGCCCATGCCCTCTCTACGGCAGGCTCTTGTGGTGACGACCTGTGCGTTGGCTTCTGACACCGCGTGGATCGCTAAACCTTGAACGTTCGCGGCTCTCCGATTCAGAACATCACTCGGTGTCAGCCGATTCTGTGCCACTGTCAGCGTTCAGCCTTGAGCGCCCGCGCAGGGGTCGCCGCCGCGCCGCCACCGTTCTCTCCCCATCCTCCACCCATTCCTCCTCCTTCTCCTCATCATGCTTCTCCTCCTGGTCCTCAACATCATTCTCGCCCGGCCTGGGATCCCGCATGCCCGAGGACGTCGTCGGGACATCGCATCTCATCTCACGGGAGCCGGGCAGGATGGCGCAAAAGCCTCCTGAATGAGTCCGTCCACCGCGATCTTCTCGCTCTTGGCCTGCATGGCGGCGACGGTGGACTCCAACTTCTCCTGGGCCGCCTTGAGCTCCGGCTGGAGCCTCCCCACCTCGGCCTTCATGATGAGGTCTCGGGCCTTCGATTCCAAGTACCTCGACGTCGTCTTCATCAAGACCTGGGCCTCCGCCGAGGCCTTCTCCGCGGCCTTCACCGGGTCCTCCTCGGCCTCCTTCGCGGCGTCGGCGCCGGCGCCCTCTGCGCCATCGGGCTGCGGCTTCTCCGCTCCGAGGGCCTCCACCATCTGCGCCAGCGCCGCCACCTTCTCCTGTAGCGCCTGGAGCTTTCCCCTCGCCTCCTCGATGTGCTTCTTCGCCTGGAGCCGCGCGTCTACGCCAGTGCAGAGCCTCTTCGCTTTGGCCACGTCGCCCTGTGCCGAGCTCAGCCTGGTCTGGAACTTGATGAGCTCCTGGCTCACCTCGGTCGACATGTCCCTGCCCTTTGCCTCAATCTGCCTCGCCGTGATGGACCTCCTCGCTTCGGCCAGAGCTGCGTTGGCGGCCTGCTCGGCCTTCAGCGTCTCGTCGGAGGCGCTCTTGATCTCGTCGGACGACATCTCGAACAGCTTGCCATCGTCCTGGAAGACGGATACAGCCTCGCCCATCATCTTGACCAGCTCCTCTGCTTTCTGCACCTCGTGCTCCGCCTCTCTCATGGTGGACAGCCTCTTCCTCTCCGCGGTGGCCTTCTTCAACTCGGAGAGCTTCTTCGTGTGCGTCTCCAGCACCGCCTGGTACTCCTTGAGCTTGGCCTGCGCCTCCTGGGCAGGGCCCGGGGAGAACCGCTTCGCCTCGACCATCTTCGTCGCGATGAACATGCGGGCGATGGACACCGCCGTGTTCGCCTGCGATGCGCACTGCTCGCAGCCCCTCACGGCGGCCACGGTGTCCTCCAGTGGCAGCTCCTCGACGCCCATCAGGAAGGGAGCCTCGGCCTCTCCCGCCTTGCCCACGGTCTCCACGACGACCTTCAGCTTCTCGCCCGCTTCCCTGAGCAGCGACTCGCACGTCGACTTCTCCGCCGCCTCCTTGTGCGAAGCCTTGAGCTGCTGCAGGCGGAGCTGCGACGCCTTCGCGCGCTCCTCCATCTTCATGAGCTCGTCGCGGGCCAGGCCAGCGGCCGTTCTTTTCTTCTGCACGATAAAGGACATCACGGCAGCGACGTGCTCGCTAGCTTTGGACACCGCCGTCTCCGCGTTTTTCACTGCCTCCTCTCGCAAAAGAGACGAGGCATAAACGGAAACTGTCGACGGTCCGCGGCGGGATCTCTTAGATCGGCACTGGACACCCCAGGGGCGGCGCCGGAGGCGCCGCCTGGGGGGGCAAGCGCCGATCGAAGAAATCCGCGCGGAGCGCCGAAACCTTGTGTAGAGGGCAGAAAGTCCCCCCCCATAATAATCACCCCTACACGCGAAGCCGTTTGGTGAACGCACCCAAAAAAGGAATCAAACAACGCAGGGTTGCTTGGTAAACGGCCAGGGCCGTCTAGTAAACGCCAATTGTCGGGTCCGGGCGGTTTGTCCCCCCTTAATTGTGTTTAGGCCGTTTTGTCTTTCTCGATCCTTGGGGATCAGGCCAGTATCGACGTCCGCGCTGGCCGTGAGCATCACCGTCGCCTCCTCGGCGCGGTCGACGTCAACCTCTCGAGTAGGAGATCGACTACAGCGTCGATTTGCCCCCAAATTGACTTTTTCGTAGAACGTGCGAAAATACGAGAACGTTCGAAAGCCTACAATATTCCATGTTTTTTCGCAAGGAGTAAGAACTAAGCCATAAAAACATCCTTCAAGAACATGAGACCCTCCGCCAGCCAAACTAAAAACCATCCGAGGGTGCCCTCCCCCACGATGCAAAAAAACATCCCGTAGACATCAAGAACATCAGGGTACCCTCCCCGAACCGACCACGATCTTACACTTCGGTCCGACCGTAGGAAAACTCTGCAATCGATCTCCTACTCGAAACCTCGGCCGGCGAGAGCTTCTCGAGCACCTCCTGCACCATCTTCTGGGCCTGGGTGCGCTGCACGAACTCCTGCCGCACGGCCTTCAGAGGGTTCAGCTTGCCCTGCGCCTCCTGCAGCTGGTTGCTCAGCTTCCCGAGCTCCGAAGCGGCCAGCTGCTTCATCTTCGGCGTCTCGAAGCGCTTGGACTCGGCAAGCTTCTGATTCAAGTAGATCTTCGCCTCACCGATTGCCTTCTGAGCCTCCTGGGCTGCCGACTCTGTCTGGGACACCGCTTGCTTGACCTCCTCGATGTCGTCACCGCCCGCGGAGATCATTTCAGAGGTTATCACTGCCTTTTCTACCGCGTCCTCAGCCTCATTCGTCTTAGAGGTGATGTTGGGGAGCCACTCCTGCCAAGAGAGGTTGTCCCTCTCCTCAGCAGCCCGGAGCTTCTCGTGCCCCTCGGCCTTGACCTTCGAGGTCCGCAGCTTGGCCAGCTCGGCACCGAGGCTGTTCTGCTGAGCTCGCAGCGACGACCCGAGCTGGGCGATCTGCTTGCCCGCCTCCGCGGGGGCGCCCCGCTGTGCCTCCATCAGTCTCTTGAGGGCCTCGTTCAGGGTGGCCACGTGCGGCTGCAGCAGGGCCTCCGCCGCCTTGATCCCATCGGGGTAGGTGTAGTCCCCCGCGGCCTCCTTCGCCTGCTCCAGCGCGGCCTTCGCGGCCGCGCCGGCCTGGGTGACCCCTGCTGCGAGCGACGTCATCTTGTCGGCCGAGGCCCGCTTGACCTCCGCGGCCTTCGACTCCACAACGAGCGTGTCGCGCACTGCACCGTCCCACGGTATCTTCCAGCCCGACCCGGGCGGCTTCATACCCGCACTGGCGCAGTGCGACCAGACCTGAGTGCCCCCCAGCTTGTTTCCGAACCACCAGCCTTCGAAAGACGGGCCGTCGCGCCCGTCCCAATCCGCCACCGCGGTTGCGCTATGCGTGATCGCGGAAAGTTCTGATGCTTGGCGGTTGTGCGGTAGGGCTTCTGCACTTCCAGAACACCAGACGGCCACCGCCAGTCTGACTCCCGAGCGCTCCTTTTCGCCTCCGAACGGCCTCAAGATGGCCTGGACGCTGTACAATTCTTAAAGATTCGCCCAGGAAGACCCGTTCTCAGACATCCAGCGTTTCAATGTTTTCTATGTTTGGACCCCCGGAAATCTGGATACCTTCTCTAAGGCCGGTTGTTCGTCCTGAGTCGTTCTTGACGGTCCTGGGTCTCGTCGAGGGCCCCTGGAGGACGAAAGCTGCCAAAAACCGTCTGCCCCTATTTTGTCGGAACCTCGGATTTCTGGCTTGATTCTCTGAGGGCTCCAGGTTGGTTCCAAGACAAAGAGACCCCCAAAAAGCCCCCAAGGGACGCCCGAAGAGGCCTCCAGCGAGGCTAACATCAGTACAGACGAGCTTGATTGGAGAGGACATGCGAGAGGACACAAGACCCTTCCGAGGGCCGCATTACCATAGAAATGTAGAAGGCATGGTCCATTCAACGCAGGACACAAGGGTACCCTTGATTGAGCAGGACTGACCTACTAGTCAAATTCCACTGCAAAGCACCTGGAAGAGAAATGCATGTGTTTGCCTCCGAGGCTTTTCGGCTCAGATCGCCTCGGGAAAAACTCATAAGCCCAAGACAGCCCGAAGCGACCCCAAGACCCAAAACGGTCCCAGAACGGTCCCACGACGTGCTCATACGCCTCCAAGATGGTTCAACCGAGCCTCTTCGGGAGAACTCGGCACGTAGAAGGTCGAACCATCGCGTCCGGAAGGCTCAAAGACTCCGACTGGCCCCGAACGGGCCCACTGGAGGCCCCCATCAAAAGGGGCCCCGAGACGCCCCCAAGACAAACCCCCATCCTTCTGCGCTGTCGTGCTGGCGACGTCTCAGGATCGCCATCGCGCCTCGCGCCGCTTCGCGAGGCGCGATGGCGACACTGAGAGGAGGAGCAGGAGGACGAGGAGGAGGAGGAGGAGGAGGAGAAGGAGGGAGGAGGAGGCGAGGAGGGAGGAGGGAGGAGGGAGGGGGGGAAAAGGGAGGTGGGAGGATGGAGGAGGAGGGAGGAGGAGGAGGGAGGAGGGAGGAGGGAGGAGGGAGGAGGGAGGAGGGAGGAGGGAGGAGGGAGGAGGAGGAGGAGGAGGAGGAGGAGGAGGAGGAGGAGGAGGAGGAGGAGGAGAGGGGAGGAGGAGGAGGAGGAGGAGGAGGGATGGAGGGAGGAGGGAGGAGGAGGGAGGAGGGAGGGGGAGGAGGGAGGAGGGAGGAGGGAGAGGGAGGAGGGAGGAGGGAGGAGGGGAGGAGGGAGGAGGGAGGAGGGAGGAGGGAGGAGGGAGGAGGAGGAGGAGGAGGAGGAGGAGGAGGAGGAGGAGGATGAGGAGGAGGAGGAGGAGGAGGAGGGAGGAGGAGGGGAGGAGGGAGGGAGGAGGGAGGAGGGAGGAGGGAGGAGGGAGGAGGAGGGAGGAGGGAGGAGGAGGAGGACGAGGAGGAGGAGGCCCTCTTCGCGCCCTGGAGGCTCTCTTCGCGCCCTCGCGCCGCCCCCTGGAGCAGGGCGGCCCTCTGGCTGACGCCGCGCCGCGCGAGGCGCGGTCTTCCCCGCGCCCCTTGGGGGTCTTAGAGGGCCACATGCGAACCCTACCCCCACCACCCACGATTTCTGAGGGGGGAGGTGGGGTTCACTACCCTACGCCTCAGAAATCGTGGGGGGGTTGGGCTAGGGTTCGCATGTGGCCCCCTGGGTCTGCCGCAGGCGGCCAGATAGTACATGAAGACATCGACGATCTCACCGCCCTGCACGGGCACCTTCTTGTACACCTTCCTTTCAGGGAGCCGAAAGACTCGGGTACGGGGGACTCGGGTTGGCCTGACGGGGCCATCATAAAAATGACGCAGCCCAATCTGAAATTTGACGCGAGCTCCCGCTGCAAACATCCCACGAAAACTGTATCGTCAAAATCCAGGACGCGCTCGTCAAAAAACGTCGACAAACCCGAATTCTGGCTTACTCGAGTCTTGGGTGTCCCAAAACCGTGTGGTGACAGACCCGGCGGTGACCTCGAAATCCGCTAAGACCTCACCGCACGGTCCGACACCACACGGTGTTGGGACCCTGGAGGCTCCAGTCGCCCGAGACATCCTCGGAGAACGACCCAAGTCCCAAAACCGTGCGGTGACCCCGAATCCCCACCGACTCACCACACGGTCCGGTTTGGGAGCCCCCGAGAGTCTTACGTCTCCCCGATCCTTCGGCGGCAAGCCCGGGGGGGAAGCGAGAAAAGCCAGGCCTTCTCGGAAGGCTCGGAGGTCCCCCAGCCTTCCGGGAAGTGTTCTGAGCCTGCCCCGAAGGCATCAAAAGCTTCCCAGAAGCCCCGGGGGCTTCTGAGAAGCCCCGCCGCCTTCTGAGAAGGCCCTCCTCCTCCTCCTCCTCTTCCTCCTCCTTCTCCTCCTCTTCCTCCTCCTTCTCCTCCTCTCCCTCCTCCGCCTCCGCCTCCTCCTCCTCCTCCTCCTCCTCCTCCTCCTCCTCGTCACTTCCCCCCTAACCCGCCGCCGACTCCTGCTGTGGTTGCTGCCGTGCGCCACGTATTCCCCGACCAGCGTGCGCACGACCACCTCTCCGATCGTGGGGGCGCTCGGGGACGGAGCGGCTCAGGGGGGAAACGTCGAGGAGGAGGAGGAGGAGGAGGAGGAGGAGGAGGAGGAGGAGGAGGAGAAGAAGGGAGGAGGGAGGAGAGAGGAGAGAGAAGGGAGAGGCGAGCAGCGAGCAGGAGAGGAGGAGGAGGAGGAGGAGGAGGAGAGGAGGAGGAGGAGGAGGAGGAGGAGGAGGAGGAGGAGGAGGAGGAGGAGGAGGAGGAGCGGCATCTGATGCGCTTCGTTATAGGGACGCCAGCGAGGGGGACTTCTGCGACCGCGCCGCTCCATTTGAGACTTCGGAGTGCGGGTGAAGGAGTCATGCGGCGAGCATGCGCGCGAAACCGATCGGGCTTGAGGAATCGGCGTCGCCCGCCTCAAAAGTTCCCTTCATGGGGCCCCGCTCGGAACCACTTGAGCATGGGCGACACATCGCCGATAGATCGGCGACAGTCCACCGATTGCGAGTCCGCACGCTCCCGCCTGGGCGCCCGAAATGGCTACGGACAGAATGGGTACAATGCCCAACAACAGATGTCGTCCCAAACCTACAGCGGCCGCTGTTGGGCAAGCGGCCTTCTGCCTCGAATGGACACGGGCCGCGGCGGCGCGGACCGCGAGCCCTGCTCAAAATGGACAGGAACTGCTGCTGGGCATCGCACCCTTTCTGTCCGTACCCATTTCGTTCGTGCCGATCCTGGGCGCGGTGGGCCATCAGGCGCCCACCGGCGATCGGTGGGCGGTTGCGGTTGGAGGTCGATGCACCGCCTCTGAGCCTATGCCCGTCCCCGATGGTTCTCGCGCCCGCTCTCCGGCGGCCGTTGGGGACGAGGAGGGCAACTTCGGAACGCTCTCGGCGAGGCGCAGCTGCTGGAGAGTGTTCCGGGGCTGGAAAACCGCCGAGGGCCGACGAACACGCCCGAGATCCACCCCTGAGCCTGCACCCATGGTCAGTAACAAGAACACCACGAGGAAAGACATCCTAGAACTGGTCGGGGGCTCAAAGGAAAATAGCCGCTAAATTTCTCGGCCATTTCTTGCAATCGCCATGCCTCCCCAGGGCTCAGCACAACCAAAGCAACCCGCGGACTCTCGAGGCATGGGATAAAAAAAGCCGGGCGCATAAGAAATGACCAACTCTTGACATGCCAAACTAGGTCGCGACAGAAGATAACTGCAAAGGTTAGAACGACACACATCCGTTGTTGTTGACCGTCGGGGGTGTAACCCCCCAACTAGAGGCCTCCCCGATGAGACCAAAGTAGATCGGGTCGGAGGATCGCGCCGCATCGCCAATGTATCGCCGATGCATCGGCGACGCATCGGCGTGGAGAACATTGAGCTCCACATCGAGCCGCAACATTGACATGCGGCGCGATCCTCCGACCCCATCTACCCGGACCCAACCTGGGCGGCCTAGAAAAATGTTGCTTCCATCGTTCTTAAGGACCACATCCCAGAAATAATTTCGAGCACCCGGACAAGTGTCGAAAGAGTGTCGAAACGGTGTCGAACGAGTGTATCCCAGGGCTCGACACGTGAAAACCCTCCAGTGTCAGTACTTTCCTGGTGCTCGACATTCTTTCTGGTGATCCAGGCCACAGGCCAAAGTCGGTTGGAACATCATAATCGGGGATGGACAGACCTCCATTTAGTAAAACGTGGCTCAGTGAAAACGACCTCGGGCCCAAACCTGGCGGGCGCAGGCCTGAAAAATGACGGCCGCGGCGCCCTCTCGAGAAAACGAAAACGGACACTTCACTAGTCGACGTGTCAGGGTAGGAGGTCTGTCCACCCCCGACATAGGTCGGGAGCGGCCAAGAGGGGGGTGTCCAAGGGGGGGGGGTGCACATCATGACCGGCGGCATGTGCGCGGCCCAGCGGGGGGGCCGGGGACGTCATGAAATAAGCAGAGGCACCATGAAGTCTGGGAAAACATCATGACCGCCGCCATGATACCCACCCCCCCTTAGTCATCACCCCCCTCTTTTCCGCCCCCGAATGTCGGGTCGGGCGAAAGGGGGGGATAGCAAAGGGGGGGTTTGAGAATCAGCTCACGTAGCTGATTTTCCCGGCGCCTCCCGGCGCCCATGTATCGAGGAATGGGCCCCTCGGTGGGCCGAAACCAGCTGCATGCAGCAAATTTCGTAACCCCCCTTTCCTAATCCCCCCCTTTCGCCCGACCCGAGAATGGGCCCAGAG